GAACATGTTCCGCTTCCAAGGCAAAGTTCACAAACCAAAACACCTACTTCCGGCTTTGCAGTGTTCTTAATCTAAAGCTGTTCTTAAACCAAGGTACCACTGTATCTGAATCCTCATGGTGCCATGACTTCTTGAAATTAACTGGTGAAATTAATAGCTGAAACTAACAACAGCCAATTAATGACTAGAACTAACTGGTGAAACTAATTGCTGGAACTAACTACAGCCATTTAATGGCTGGAACTAACTGGTGAAACTAATGGTTGAAACGAACTGATGAAATGAACTGATGAAACTAATAGTTAAAACTAGCTAGTGAAACTAACTACAGCTACTTCATGGCTGGATCTAACTGGTGAAACTAATGGCTGAAAGAGACTTTTGAAGTTAACAGCTGAAAGTAATGGCTGAAATTGTCTGATATATATATATATTGCTAAAAAATAATTTTCTGTAGAAATGAATTGATAGATTTATTGATGAGTCTGAACAAATCCCTTTTCTATTTAATGAAGATGAAATATTTCTAATTTAATCTGAAACATTATAAATCATATGTTTCCTCACTTTATTTAACTTTTTTGCTGTAACATAAAAACCAAGCACCGTTTCTACAAGGAACTGGACCAAGCTGTCCGAAGGGTCCCACCTATTCCTGCTGGGAGATTTCAGTGCCAGAGCTGGGAATGGTCATCACAAGTGGGACAACTGCATAGGCTACTGTGGTATTGGCAGAACAGACAAAGACTTCTTGAGCTGTGCTCAGATCACAGCCTCTGAATCATGAACATGGTCTTCTCTACCAAGGCAAACCATAAGAGTGTCTTGGAAACATCCAAAGTCAGGCCACTGGCACCAGCTGGATTTGATGACATACTACAGCTTTTTACTTATAACAGCATTGAAAATGAGATTGCTGTTAGTGTTATATAATTCTGCTTCAGTTTGAAAAATCAATAAATCAGGTCCTCTTCATGGAGGGCATGTGTTGCGGTGAGATCACCAAGACTGACCTCACTGTTGTGGGTGGAAACGTTTGGATAGCCACAACTACCCGATTGGGTCCCCCGGTTGCAGGGATGATTCTGGCCAATGGGGTTCTGAGAACGAACAATTGGGGGACCTATATATAACGCTGCACGTTGCGTCGCGCTTCCTCTTAGCGCCTTGTGCATCGATCACCCAAAGCTGTCAGAGTGCTAAGTATCCAGCGAGAAGCCTTTTCAATGGAGAGATCTTCCATTTGTCGGTTTAAATCTAATTATTACCCTCTTCTTTCTCCTTCCCCCTATTTAGTGTAATTCCCTTAATTTGGCTCCTTTCTCTCCCCTTCCCCCCTCCCGTACCCGACAGGGGTTGCCTCGTCGGGGTGCTTTTTTCTAGGATCTCCCTGTAGCTTCCTCTTATGTTTACATTGAAGCTGCAGCGGCCTTATTTCATAGAATCATAGAATCATAGAGTTGGAAGAGACCACAAGGGCCATCGAGTCCAACCCCCTGCCAAGCAGGAAACACCATCAGAGCACTCCTGACATATGGTTGTCAAGCCTCTGCTTAAAGACCTCCAAAGAAGGAGACTCCACCACACTCCTTGGCAGCAAATTCCACTGTCGAACAGCTCTTACTGTCAGGAAGTTCTTCCTAATGTTTAGGTGGAATCTTCTTTCTTGTAGTTTGGATCCATTGCTCCGTGTCCGCTTCTCTGGAGCAGCAGAAAACAACCTTTCTCCCTCCTTTATGTGACATCCTTTTATATATTTGAACATGGCTATCATATCACCCCTTAACCTCTTCTTCTCCAGGCTAAACATGCCCAGCTCCCTTAGCCGTTCCTCATAAGGCATCTTTCCAGGCCTTTGACCATTTTGGTCGCCCTCCTCTGGACACGTTCCAGTTTATTAGTGTCCTTCTTGAACTGTGGTGCCCAGAACTGGACACAGTACTCCAGGTGAGGTCTGACCAGAGCAGAATACAGTGGCACTATTACTTCCCTTGATCTAGATGCTATACTCCTATTGATGCAGCCCAGAATTTCATTGGCTTTTTTAGCTGCCGCGTCACACTGTTGGCTAATGTCAAGTTTGTGGTCAACCAAGACTCCTAGATCCTTTTCACATGTACTGCTCTCAAGCCAGGTGTCACCCATCTTGTATTTGTGCCTCTCATTTTTTTTGCCCAAGTGCAATACTTTACATTTCTCCCTGTTAAAGTTCATCTTGTTTGTTTTGGCCCAGTTCTCTAATCTGTCAAGGTCGTTTTGAAGTGTGATCCTGTCCTCTGGGGTGTTAGCCACCCCTCCCAGTTTGGTGTCATCTGCAAATTTGATCAGGATGCCCTTGAGTCCATCATCCAAGTCGTTGATAAGTTTGTTGGCTTTATAGCTTTGGCTTACCCGTGGGACTTGCTGCATTCACCCCAGCCAACCTGGGGTTGTTTGGGGTGGCTTCTTTCATAGCTTTTATTTTCCCTTTCTCGTTTTAGCGTCTGGTTTCCGTCCTATGCGGGCAATCCTGGCAGTATCCTTAATTGCTTCTGCCTTTTGATTGGGCTGATTGCCATTCAGGGCGTGCCCCTCACGCCTGGTATAGTGGGAGCACTCCAGTGGGCCTTGGCTCTTGTTGGTTGCCATTTTGGACGGTTTTTCTCCAGCGTTTTGGCGTTAGCGCCATTTTGATTGCTTCCTTCTTGCTGGTTGCCATCTTGTGTGTGTGGCCCTTCAGCACTTAAGCAGGAGCACCATTTTGTTTTACGGCCTAGTCAGTGTTTCCTTATAGCCTTTGTATAGGCTTGGGACCTGGGTGCTTTGTCCTTTTTTACCCCTTTGCTTTAAGGCTTTGGCTGCCTCCTGCAGGCCTATTTTCAATAATGCCTCCAAAAATAATCCAGGATGTGGTCCTTCCTCCTAAGAGGTTAATAAGGGGGCCATCCCCCTCACTCCGCTCATCACAGCCTCCCTTGATCCCTGAGCAGGTGGCCAGGCACCTTGAGTCCATCATTTCGGGTCTGGCTGGTGATCCCCGTGCCACATCAAGCTTCTCAGCTGAACTTAATGGCCTTTTGCAGTGTCTTGGTGCCCCTTCTGAGTCTCACCCAGGCCCATCCTCCTCTTCAATGGTTGAGGCTCTTGGCCCTTCTGATTCTAGTGGGGAAGGCAAAGGGTTTGATCCTTCTGGGGCCTTGTTTAATGAGTCACAATTTTACAGGATTCCCATCCCTACTTCAACGCAGGGGTGCCCCAGGAGTTTGGGAGTCTTGTTCTTTGTCTGGGGGCCCCCATGCCCCCCACACTAGGTCCATTGAGTTGGGGCTTGTGTCCTTTGGTACCACACGAGGTGTGGGTGAGGCGAGTCTCTCACATATTTCTAGTTCCTCACAGGTTATGGCAGTGTCTTCGCACTAGGCTCCTTGTGCGGCCACCTCTGAGGAGCGTGAGCTTCCAGTTCCTCGTGTGCCTTCCAGGGCTGGAAAATGCCACTGGAGGTGCCATTCTCGTCGGAGAGGCAAGAGGAGCAAGGACAGGGATACCACCTCGTCTTCAGGTACTTCTTCCACAAGCTCCGATGATGATGTGGAGGCCAATATGGCCCTTTATTGGGGCCAGTGCGAATCGCAGGGACAATTCCCCCTTTATTGGGGCCAGGTATGGTGCAGCCTTGGAAGTGAAGGATGGTGTTTTGGTTAAGGATGTTAAAGTCTCCACCAACTCAACCAGGGATATTATCCCCGGTTGCCATCTTGTCTTTTTCTCATGGCCTCAGATTGAGTTCCCGCATCCGGATGGACTTGGAGGAGTTGGCTGTTGCCTTCCCAGGACTCAAAAGTTTCAGGTCGCAATTGCTCCAGCGACGTGTATGGTGCGGTAGCCACTGCCCAACTAACACCGAGTGGGCAAGAATGTGCATGGATTGCGCTGTGGCCAGGAAGGTTCTGGGCCTGGGAGGCACTGTTATTCGCCATGCAGGCATTACCTTCATGGATGCGGCCTTGTATAGGCCTCATGGTGTGCATCTTTCCAATGCTGGAAATGATGTTTGGCTGACCAGGGTGTCAGAGGGGTTAAAGGGTTGGTTACAGTTGTGAGTGCTTTGGTGGCGAGCGTGGGTATTCGTGTGGCAGTTAGGCATTGGTTCAAGGTGTGGTGGAGGGGAGGTCTTCACACCTGCCCCTCCCAGTGTGCATAGGGTATTCCGTTAAAGGAATCCAGGTGTTTACTTTTACTGACATTTTGTAATCAATAAAGTTGTGGCCAAAATTATGCCAAAAACCTTAAACTAATATTGGCGTCATTTGTGTCTTTCTTGGGAGGTCTCAGGGGTCTTCACAAGCAAAACATAATTTTTAGAATGCACACGTTCCCCTAATATATGCATTTTTGTAAACACTGTTTAGCTGGAGAACTCCACCAACAAATTCAGACATTGTCATTTAATGTTTTCATTTTTTTGCATCAGGTCCACCAAGAGGGGGACACAGCAGGTACTTCTATCCTAGGCCTAGACACTGAGCTTCCACTTTAAAGTAACCACAAAGTCTCTAGACCTTGTAGAATAATAGTTATGAATGGAAATGTGCAGTCCCCATTCAACACAAAAAGGAAGACATGAGTCTGTTCCTACTATTTAGTGTTTTCAGCCAATGAGTGAAGTCATAGCTATAATTCACAAATGCTGTGAAGAAATAAAATACAGTCACACATGCATCAGGAAAGACTTTTTAAAAGGGCCAAAATGATCCAGGAAGTTTCTTATCCACACAATGTAGAAGGAACTCCCAGATTCATTTTAAAGCAATGACTAATGGGAGTTGTAGTCCAAGTATTTGGATGCCACTGGATGGACAAAGGCTTCTATGTGGTTATGCGCTTGTTGCTCTTCCACATTATTCTTTTGTTGGTCTTCTTTCTAAAATTGAGGAACTGGTCTCAAAAAAGGACACACACTCATATTTGTTTAGCATTTAATTGTGGTTAAATTCCAGGTCAGTAAACTATTAGAATAAAGTTCATCTACAGCAGTAAAACTTAACATCATTAAGTGCTGTATCATCACCTTCTCCTTGATCAGGCTGTACTTTGTCTGCAGCCCACATATGGTACCAGAAAAGCAGGTGCTAACGCTGGCATAATAGTCCTAACATATTCCATTAGCAAACATTTCTCTCCCGTTTTCACATCTAATGCTGGATACCAAAAAGTATTCTGTGATTGACTCAGGAAACCCTCAAGACCAAGCTGCCACTCTGCGCTGGTGGAATTGTGTTGTGACTCCTCACTAGCTGTGCTTTTCACCATAGTTTACTGGAAGATTATACAATATGTTTGTTAACTTTTTGTTGAATGAGACTTGGGTTCCTTCTATGAAGCTGGGAATTACTGAGAGTGGTTTCTGTAGATGTTCTGGAGGCAAAAATAATTCGTAAGACATTTCCGGCAGCCCTTCACCTGAAAGCTACAATGTCATAGGTAAAGGTAAAGGGACCCCTGACCATTAAGTCCAGTCGTGACCGACTCTGGGGTTGCGGCGCTCATCTCACTTTATAAGCTGAGGGAGCCAGCGTACAGCTTCCGGGTCATGTGGCCAGCAGGACTAAGCCGCTTCTGGCGAACCAGAGCAGCTCACAGAAATGCCGTTTACCTTCCCGCCAGAGCGGTACCTATTTATCTACTTGCACTTTGATGTGCTTTTGAACTGCTAGGTTGGCAGGAACAGGGACCGAGCAACGGGAGCTCACCCTGTCGCGGGGATTCGAACCGCCAACCTTCTGATCGGCAAGTCCTAGGCTCTGTGGTTTAACCCACAGTGCCACCCGCATCATAGTAGGAGAGAAATCTAAATCATGTTCCTGATGTAGACTCATTTATTGCACCATTAGTGCAATGGAGACGGAAATGTTTGAGAGCTGTATTATCCTCATGTGGTTCAGTACCTTGAAGTTTCTGCAGCTGATGGCGAACAGAAAATAGAGGTTGCGAACAACCTGCTGCTGCAAGCCAGGACTCCGACAATGCCAAAGTTTGTGTTGGTAAAGCAAGTGTTTTCTGTTTGACTGTTCCATACTCACTGGTTTGAGCCTGAATAAGCAGTGTAGGCTTTGTCTACTGCTGTGGTTTTCAACCTTTTTGAGTCTATGGCTCCCTTGACCAGCCATATTTTATCTGTGACTCCTCTGTGGAATCCAGTTACGTTGGGGTTCAGGACACGTGTGAAAATATCACCTCTAAAAATATGGGTTGTCCTATTTTAAAAAGTGACAGGCTGCTTTTAGAAAATCCTGCCCCCTAGATGCCATTTTCAATGGACAAATCCCAGCTAAGTCAGGGAAATTATGGACGTACAGTATGACAGCCCTATCAGAACATCAGCTGCCATGGAAGAACAGTGGGACTGTGCACTCACTGCCAGTTTCTGGGCTTCAAGTGGCATCTGAGAAGCCACTCTGAGAAACAGGATGCTTGACCAGATTGACCTGTTGTACAATGCAGCAGGCTTCTTCTTACATTCTCCTGTATCCATTCATCCTTCTCTGTCCTCTCTCCAATCCTATGGTTAGCCTCCTATCCAGCTGCCATGATGGAATTGCCACAGCAGAGATTGTGCTGTGTGTGACTTTAGCATTCATTCTGTTATTAGTAAGTCAGCAAACCAGGAGGGCTGGCTGAGGTTTTGCTTAACAACCAAGCAAAGTTGCACGGCACTCACTGAGGTAGCGAGCACTCTGATTGGCTGTGTAGTTCTGCGGGAGTTCCCCCCTGTTATGTATAATTGATAGCCTTCCTGCTATGTCCAGTGCCTGACATAAGAAAGACAAAGCCTCTCTGTTGCTTTCTCCTCAAGTTATACAATGTTTTGTTCCGCTTCCTCAATAAAGCGTTACCAAGATTTAGATAGCTTTGCTAACAAGCCATACATGAAGATTTAAGGCACAGTGCATCAAAAAAAGACACCCAGAACTCTTCATTGGGAATACATTTTATTATTAAGTTTCACGTCATGGAGCCATTGGGGCACAGGGAACTGAGCTATTGTTGGGTGAAACCTACATGGTTCAGTTGCAGCAGTAGAACTTCACATCGTTAAGTCCTGTGACGTCGCTTGTCAATTCACTGTCAATTCTTGTCCGAATTCCACATATGGCGCCTTTAGGACAGATTGCACTCCATGGGCCAAAAGTACCCCAGTCAGTTGAATGACCTGTCAGGACAGCCCCATGTTCGCAGCTGAACCTGATATTGTTAGCAGATGTATCATCATCTACTCCTTGTGATTCTTGTACTCTCAGAGAAAATGAGATTAGACGGCCTTTAGGACAAGTCTCCTCCTTTGTCCATTGTCCATACCTGACAAAGATAGTGGTGTTAATACTCTGAAGAAATGTTTGCTCAAATCATGTCTGCACCATACATTCACAGCCATTCAGCACACATTTGAAGCATATGGCTTCTCATAAAAGAATCCTTGGAGCTTTGACTTTGAGGAAATATAGAAGGTATATTTTAACAAAAAAGGGCTCAAACCATCTCAAGAATTGTTAAGTTTTTGGAAAGTTGGATAATAGGTATAAAGAATGGTTTCGGTGGCGGGGTGCACATTTTTTATTTCTATTGTTATTTTGTGTTTTACGTTCTTCAGGAAATATGCACACAGGAACAGGTAAATTTTATAATACTTTTCATATCAGCAACAGTTGGTGATATCAATTTTATATCTTTCTGTGATTAGATGAGTTATTTTGTAATTTTTTACCCTTGTTCTCAACTAATACGGCCTACATTTTGTTATACAGGTAATGTTGCATGTATGCATTCTCTTCACATTTTATTCACCTCATATGGAAATAGATGTAGAATGGAATTCTGTTTTATTTAATTTTGTTAGCTCAATGATTAATTCCTGGGGAAGGAAACTACATCCGAATGTTGAGCAACTGTCTTTTCTACATTGCATTTCACTATTTTATCACATCCCTCCCTGTTGTGTTGTTGATGCACTCAGGTTTGGCAGCCCATGAATAAGTCACCATAATTCAAGATGTATCCTTCTCAAGAACTCAGGGAAAAGGCAAGAACTTGCCAGATTTGGTTCCATACTTCTTTCTAACAACAAAGCCAAGGAATGGAATATTTAAAGCTACTCACGGTCCAACATCAGATTGAATTACTGAGCCATCCGTGCAAATGAGGCGGATGCCATTCAGAGATGTATCATCTTTAAATAAATGATAAAGTTTCCATGGGTCTACCTGGGGGAGAAGAGAAGCTGTGGTTGCAATAAGACCACATTTAAGAGCAAAGCACAGCATTTTCAGGAGGAATTTCACACACACTAGATTGGCAGGCTGAATTTGACAGTATTGTACAGAACTTGGATGGTTTGATTTGAAAAGGATCTCGTTTGACATGCCCCAAAAGGAACTAACTCCAGTTCAAGTTTGCCCCTTTACAAAATGAACTATTTCAGTTCCCAGTTCAATTCAAGTTTGTCCAAATGTTCCTTGGCAAAAAAATATTTCAGCCTCCAGAAACTCACAAGCTGTTGTGTTGAAGCATAAAATTTACTTAAGAAGACTAAGGAACCATCATTCCACACACAGCAGAATATGAATAGTTTGTTTTCTTTCCCCTCAAAATTATGATATTTAAGCTTAAATGCACAAAGGGTCCAAAGTGTAAATAACATATTTAAGAGAATGAACTTGAAGATGAACTAGAAAATTTGCTTCAAAATGAACTGAATTCATTTTTCATTCACCCAGCCATTACTTTTCAGCTGTTGTTGGCATGGTGCAATATCATCATCATCATCATCATCATCATCATGTATTAAATTTCTATACCACCCTTCATCTGAAGATCACAGGGTGGTTTACAATGTAAAAAAACAAAAATGCATGCCATTATAACGAACAAAAACAATTCTCCCAACAGTTTAATTAGCCAAAGCCCTGGGAGAAGAGGAATCCTTTTGTCAGGCACCTAAGGATATGTAACAGGGGTTCCAGGCAAACCTCTCTGGGGAGAGCATTCCACAAGGGAGGAACCACTACATAAAAGGCCCATTCTTGTGTTGCTGTTCTCCGGACCTCTCACAGAGAAGGCACATGAAGAAGAACCTCAAATGCTAAAGGGCCTTAGGTGTGCAACCAGTACGTTTGCATCATAATGACCTCACCACCAAGCAACTCAGTCAGATGGAGGTCAGGTGAGCAGAGCCGCCCCAGGACACTGTCCATTCATACTTATTGTCACAGCTACTTGGCACCTAGGTGCCTGAAAAGGAGGACACAAGGAGATATCTACCTTCAATCTGAATCCATTTGCATGTCCTTTGAGACAGAATTCTATGGGTCCCCATTCACCCCATGGGCCTCCATTTGGCACTGAGAGTTCAATTGTATAGTTTGGGGTTTTTGCATCCGAGAGGTAGCTGGAGAAGATCAAGAAGAGCACAGTACCTATAGAGAGGTCCATGGAAGGTAGCTCACCACAGATCTAGCAGCAAAAGCACAGTGGGAAAATAATAGCCTTGATAATTTTGAACCCCAAATCCCTGAATCCCGTTTTTCAGAATATGTGGTTGCTTTTGGCTGATATAACAGGTTCACTGGTTGGCTTTTCTAATTCCAGTGTGATTCAGGAAGTATTTGGATTATGACCAGGACAAAATTCACTAGGCAACCAAGAAACACTTTTAGAGAAAGTGAATGATAGAACAATAATGGATGGGTTTTACCTAACCCCTGAGTAATTATTATTGCTTCTCAAGAATTCCTAAACATTGTTAACAAAGGTTTGTCCAAAGTGACTCACAGCAATAAAAACCTACAAGTTTATTACTAAAACCTAAAACAGAATAGTCTCAAAAATAAAAATAAAAAGACTCCACAATCCAACTTTCATCACATGAGTGAGAAGCCCAGTCACACCATGTGAGTCTTGAATGCCTTTCAAGATGGCTGAAGGTCAGTCACCCTTGGGTGGAGCCAGCACAGAAAAGACCCTGCAGATGATAATTTTAATATTATTATTACTGCTGCTGCTACTACTACTACTACAACTACTACTCACCTTTTGGGAATAACAGCACAGCTGGAATTTATTTATTATTGTTGTTGTTGTTGTTGTTTTGTTTTCTTGCTTTACCTCATTCAGTTCTGGCCACTGCCTAAGCTTGTATAATTATGAACAGGAGGCAGCCCTTGTCCTCCTTTCTCTCTTCAGCAAGCTGCTTCAGGCAGTGTCTCACGGCAGTCAATTATCCTACGTGGGAAAGACTTTGAGCTGAGCTGCTTATATTAATGTGGGCAGCAACCAGGAACAGGAACATGAGATGTGGGAGTTTCCCTCCTGAGCAGTACCTGCCATGCTCTGCAGCTCCATGACTGGACGGAACTGGTCAGTATTTAACAGTCACGGGAATAGGGTCAGTCCTCAAAATATATATCTCAGGCCTTACAGGCCAGCATGAAGAGGACTGTATTCAGTATGTGGTGAAAACTATAGTGAAGGTGCCAAACACACTTCCCGGGGAGAAAATTCTACAGCCACAGAGAATGCCATCTCCTGGGTCACCACCATCCCAAACATCGGAAGGCAGTGGAAGTATCAAGGGGAGCCCCTCTGCTGTTCTTGACACCTGAGAGCGTCTATAGATAAAGAGCTGCTCTCTGAGATATTTGGGGGCCTAAGTCATTTGGGGATTTACGTGAGCTCCTTCAACTGAGCCTGCAACAAAATAGCAAATATGATTCAATGTAATACATATTGGGAGCATATTGGGAGGGATGATCCTAAGATTCCAAATGATGTCTTAAACAGCACCGACTAATGATGGAAGAGATCTTGGAACCATGGTAGATGGCTCAACTAAAATATCAACTCTGCATGTATCACATGTATGAAAGGCAGATTCCATGCTTTGGGAATGGATCAAAAAATAATATCACAATGCCTTTATAAAACTCTATTGTGCTTGGTATGTAGTTCTCCCATAATACTGGAACCCAGGGATGATTATGATGATGATGATGATGATTATTATTATTATTATTTTACTACCCCACCCATCTGACTGGGTTTCCTCAGCCAATCTGGGCGGCTTTCAACAGAACATTAAAAACAGAATAGAACTTTAAACATTAAAAACTTCCCTAAACAGCTCTGCCTTCAGAAGTCTTCTTAAAGTCAGATAGTTGTTTATTTCCTTGACATCTGATGGGAGGGCGTTCCACAGGGCAGGTGCCACTGCCAAGAAGGCCCTCTGCCTGGTTCCCTGTAATCTCACTTCTTGCAGTGAGGGAACCACCAGAAGGCCCTCGGAGCTGGACCTAAGTGTTAAATAATGTTGTTAAATATCCTGTGATGGTCACCCAGCCTGCTGTTTTAAGTTACCCTCAATGTAATGGTACAGTTCACAGACCTATGCAATGTATTGGTGTCATACATCGATGGTCTAAAGCATTGCAATTTAGGCAACTTAAGATGGCAGGCTGTGTGGCAGCCATGATGGACACCCAGCTTAACTCCCACCTATTCTTCTCCCTGGTCTCGGATTCTGCCAGTCATTTCTGCCAATTCCATATAGTCTATCACCTTCATCTGCCACTCTTCCAGTGTGGGTAAATCTTGTGTCTTCCAATACTTTGCAATCAGTATTCTTGCTGCTGTTGTTGCATACATGAAAAAAGGTCTATCCTTCTTTGGCACCAGTTGGCTGACTATGCCCAAGAGGAAGGCCTCTGGTTTCTTCAGGAAGGTATATTTAAATACCTTTTTCATTTCATTATAGATCATCTCCCAGAAAGCCTTAATCTTTGGGCATGTCCACCAAAGGTGAAAGAATGTACCTTCAGTTTCTTGACATTTCCAACATTTATTATCGGGCAAATGATGGATTTTTGCAAGCTTGACTGGTGTCATGTACCACCTGTATATCATTTTTATAATATTCTCTCTTAAGGCATTACATGCCGTAAATTTCATACCTGTGGTCCACAACTGTTCCCAGTCAGCAAATATAATGTTATGTCCAACATCTTGTGCCCATTTAATCATAGCAGATTTCACCGTTTCATCCTGAGTATTCCATTTTAACAGCAAGTTATACATTCTTGAAAGTATCTTAGTTTTGGGATCTAACAGTTCTGTTTCCAGCTTTGATTTTTCCACCTGGAAGCCAATTTTTTTGTCCAAATTATATACCTCTCTTATTTGATAATAATGAAGCCAGTCTCGCACTTTGTCTTTTAATTTCTCAAAACTCTGCAATTTCAGTTTGTCTCCTTCTTGCTCCAAAATTTCCCAATATTTTGGCCACTTGGCCTCCATATTGAGCTTTTTCTGAGCCTTAGCCTCCATCGGTGACAGCCACCTTGGGGTTTATTTTCAAGTAAGTCTTTATATCTTATCCAGACATTAAACAATGCTTTCCTGACAATATGGTTTTTAAATGCTTTATGTGCTTTAACCTTGTCGTACCACAAATATGCATGCCACCCAAAAACATTATTGAAACCTTCTAAATCCAAAATGTCTGTGTTCTCAAGAAGCATCCATTCTTTCAACCATCAAAATGCTGCTGATTCATAATAAAGTTTAAGGTCTGGCAGGGCAAATCCACCTCTTTCCTTTGCGTCAGTTAGTATTTTAAATTTTATTCTGGGCTTCTTGCCCTGCCAGACAAATCTAGAAATGTCTCTCTGCCACTTCTTGAAACAGTCCATTTTGTCCAGAATTTGTAATGATTGAAACAAAAACAACATTCTTGGCAATACATTCATCTTTATCACAGCAATTCGACCCAACAAGGAAAGCTTCAAATTTGACCATACTTCTAAGTCCTTCTTCACTTCTGACCAACATTTTTCATAGTTGTCTTTAAATAAATTCCCATTTTTAGCTGTCATGTTAATCCCCAGGTATTTCACTTTCTTAACCACTGTTAAACCTGTCTCATTCTGAAACCTCTCTTTCTCCATCGGTGTTAAATTTTTCTCAAGGACTTTAGTTTTTAACTTATTCAACTTAAATCCTGCCACTTGACCAAATTCTTGAATCAGTTCTAATACTCTTTTAGTATTAGATTCTGGCTCCTGTAAAGTCAATACTAAGTCATCTGCAAAAGCTTTCAATTTATATTGTTTAGCTCTGACCTTTATACTTTTAATCAGATGGTCCCTTCTAATCATATTTAACAAAACCTCCAGGACCGAAATAAAGAGCAATGGGGAAATTGGGCAACCTTGTCGTGTCCCTTTCTCTATCTTGAATTCCTCTGTCACCACATTGTTAACTATTAATTTCGCCTTTTGTTCTGAATAAATTGCACTTATACCATTTTCAAACCCTTGACCAACCCCCATCCCCTGAAGATTTTTCTTCATAAAGCTCCAAGAAATATTATCAAAAGCTTTCTCCGCATCCACAAAAATTAAAACTGCTTTAGTGTTGATGTCCACTTGCAACTTCTCCAAAATATTGATTATATTCCTCGTATTGTCAGACAAGAAAGCCAGCTTGGTCCTTATGTATCTCTTCCACTAATACTTTTTTTAATCTTTTGGCCAAAATGTCGGCAAATATTTTGTAATCCACATTAAGCAGGGATATGGGTCGGTAATTCTTGAGTTGTGTCTTTTCAGACTCAGTTTTCGGTATAAGTGTAATATATGCTTCTTTCCACGACTCTGGCGCCTTTTTCCCCTCCAAAATTTCATTGCAAACCTCCTTTAGTGGTTGAATTATCCCGTCCTTCAAAGTTCTATAATATTTTGAGGTTAAACCATCCGGCCCAATTTACAAATGGAACACACTCAACAGGAAGCGGAACATGTTCCGCTTCCAAGGCAAAGTTCACAAACCAAACACCTACTTCCGGCTTTGCAGTGTTCTTAATCTAAAGCCGTTCTTAAACCAAGGTACCACTGTATCTGAATCCTCATGGTGCCATGACTTCTTGAAACTAACTGGTGAAATTAATAGCTGAAACGAACAACAGCCAATTAATGGCTGGAACTAACTGGTGAAACTAATGGTTGAAACGAACTGATGAAACGAACTGATGAAACTAATAGTTAAAACTAGCTGGTGAAACTAACCACAGCTACTTAATGGCTGGATCTAACTGGTGAAACTAATGGTTGAAATGAACTGATGAAATGAACTGATGAAACTAATAGTTAAAACTAGCTGGTGAAACTAACTACAGCTACTTAATGGCTGGATCTAACTGGTGAAACTAATGGTTGAAACAGACTTTTGAAGTTAACAGCTGAAAGTAATGTATGAAATTGTCTGATAATTTTTTTTTGCTAAAAAATAATTTTCTGTAGAAATGAATTGATAGATTTATTGATGAGTCTGAACAAATCCCCTTTCTATTTAATGAAGATGAAATATTTCTAATTTAATCTGAAACATTTTAAATAATATGTTACCTCACTTTATTTAACTTTTTTGCTGTAACATAAAAA